CCAGTGCAAGTTGAATGTCGCAACGGATACACCAGTGAACATACGGCCGTATCCACTACCGTTTGCTACCAAAGAGGCAGTTCAACAAGAAATTAGAGACATGCTGAAGCAAGGCATCATCGAGCCATCTGAGTCTCCCTACCAGTCGCCGATAGTAGTTGTCAAGAAAAAAGACGGGACAATACGTCTATGCATTGACTTCCGGCAACTCAACAAGATACTGCTGAACGACAATGAGCCCATACCTCGAGTTGATGTTATTTTTGGACAACTGGGGAAGGCACGATATTTTTCTAAGTTCGACTTTGCTAAAGGGTATTGGCAAGTCCCGATGCATGAAGAGTCCAAAGCAATGACAGCGTTTTCTACATCAGCAGGCCTTTATCAGTTTCGTTTCATGCCGTTTGGCATTAAAACCGCCCCAGCTGTCTTCAACCGTCTAATGAGGAAGGTGGTAGCAGATATACCCCATATCTACTTTTACTTCGACGATGTGCTCGTTGCAACCGAGACGTGGACAGAACACGTGGCCACACTTGAAGCCTTTCTTCAACGAGTTAGCGAATCCGGGTTGACGATTCGACCAACGAAAAGTGAGATTGGTCAGCGGTCAGTAAAGTTCCTCGGTCATCACGTCGAAAATGGCATCATCAAACCCCAGATCGAAACCCTTGATAAAATACGGGCAGCCAAGCGCCCACAGACGAAAAAAGAAGTACGCTCTTTCCTTGGACTTACGGGCTATTACAGAGATTTCGTCCACAAGTACTCCGAGATAGCAGGACCATTAACTGAACTGACTAAAAAGAGAGCCCCTAACAAAGTAATTTGGGGAGTGCAGGAACAGAAAGCCTTCGATGCACTCAAGACCATGCTGTCTACACAACCTGTCTTGAGAGCACCCGATTTCGCTCAGCCTTTTGTACTTCGCACCGACGCCTCGTCAACAAGCGTAGGTGCCATACTTATGCAGCGGCATGGTGCTATGCTACACCCAGTGTCGTACGCTAGCCGACGACTGCAACCACGAGAAACTGCCTATTCGACAATCGAGCGCGAAGCCCTGGCACTCACGTGGGCCATCCAGAAATTTCATATTTACTTGTTCGGGCGAACGTTCATACTACAAAGCGACCACAAGCCTCTCGTTTACATCAACTCCGCCAAACACATCAACAGCCGTGTTCTACGTTGGAGCCTCATACTCATGGAGTACGACTTCAGCGTTGAATATATAAAAGGCAGTGAGAATGTAGGAGCAGACTATATGAGCCGGTTGCCAAGCGCATGAACATCATCGCTACACGGCTTGAGGATTTCGCAGTGTCGGGTATAATTGATGGAATTTTTTTTTTTTCGGTGCACATTACTTACCGTGACGGACCAACTTTCATCTCGTCTTGCGAGTACCTTTGAGAGTGTCGGGTGTGCGGGGCCCTGAACACTGGTGACAACTTTTGTGTCTCTTATGTGTGCCGAGTGTGCGGGGCTCGGAAGTGTAGTGCAGTGCTTCGAGTGCGCGTGTACTACGGTGTCCCAAGGGATCCAGTGGCAGCTGCAAGTTCTTCACAGCGAAGAACCTTCTTAAGTGGGGGGGTAATGTGACGAAGCAGGGAAAGCGAGAGCAGACGACGGAGTGGCCGATCGCTGGAAGGCGAGAAAAACGAAGGAGCTCGGGCTGCAGAGAAGATTAAGAAGGGCGCGCGCAGGCGAGACAGTTTTTTTTTGGAACGCCGGCAGAACGGGCGGCAGGTTGTTGGAGAACCCGCATCTACGCGCGAGGTTCGCATACACAGGGCGCCTGTCTTCGGGACAGCGAGCGCCTCACGGTCCTCGCCTGGCAAGACCTGGGACGCGGCCTGCTGCTCTCGGAGAACCCGCACCTACGCGCGAGGTTCCAGATTGTCCACCGCCGTCGAGACGAGCGTCGCAAGGTCCTGGCCTGGCGCGGACGAGCCCTGTCTGGCTACCGGCTACCGAGCGACGGTTCGTTCACTCGGCCCTTAATCCCTGCTGCTGCTACGTCGTTGCCACACCGGACATCTACCCGACGACGATTACGTCATCACAGGGACTCAACCAGCCCACAGCCTCCTGGTCCCCAAGCACCGCCACGTGAGACAATTGACTAGTAGTGTACGCTGCCGCTTTATGTATTTCGTGTGTGTATGCTGTCAAATACAATTGTAGTGTGGTTTGTTAACGTCAGATACCGTCTCCTCCATCCGCAACGCGTCACACGCTCTGCGGCGCGACGAACCTCACCAACAAACATCCCACGAGCTCCTTCGTTTTTCTCGCCTTCCAGCGATCGGCCACTCCGTCGTCTGCTCTCGCTTTCCCTGCTTCGTCACACTCCTGGTGGTACCTCGAGACATGCGAGACGACGTCCTCTTCGCTTGCCATGACGAACCCACATCCGGTCATCTGGGCTACTCACGGACACTTGCCCGAGTGAGCGAAAGGTACTATTGGCCAGGACTTTCAGCAAGCGTCAAGAAGTGCGTCAAGAGCTGTCGGGAATGTCAGTGCCGAAAGCAACCGTCGGTTAAGCCAGCTGGTTTGCTTCAGCCCATTGAAGCGCCTTGCACGCCGTTCGACCAAGTCGGCATGGACATTCTCGGGCCATTTCCCCTGTCTGCGGACAGCAACAAATGGGTGATCGTCGCGACCGACTATTTGACACGCTACGCTGAGACGCAGGCGATGCCACGAGCAACGGCTTCTGAGGTAGCACAATTTTACACACGCCACATAGAGTTACGACACGGTGCTCCTTCCAGTATAATAACGGACAGAGGGACGGTATTCACGGCGCAGCTTATGGACGAAGTTTTCAAACTGAGCAATGCCAGACACCGAAAGACAACTGCGTACCACCTACAAACCAACGGACTTACCGAGTGACTGAATAAGACTCTCGCAGACATGATCTCAATGTACATCGACGTACAGCACAAAACATGGGATCGGATCTTACCTTACGTGACCTTCGCGTATAATACCGCCGTACAAGAGACCACGCGATCCACGCCATTAAGGCTTCTCTACGGCCGCGAAGTGCAGACCATGCTGGACTCTATGCTGCCGTGTCTAGATGAAGACGAGTTGGCAACTGACGCCGAAGAGTTCGCAGAGCGTGCTGAGGAAGCCCGGCAGCTCGCGCGACTGTACATCGGCCAGCAACAGCAGGCAGACGCACGACGCTATGACAGCCACCAAAGAGAAGTGTTTTAGAACCCTGGAGACCAAGTTTCGGTGTGGACGCTTGTCCGCCGCCGTGGCCTAGTGAAAAGTTACCGAGCCGGTACTTTGGCCCATATAAAGTGTTACGCCGCGTCAGTGACGTGAACTATGAAGTGGTTCCGGACTCAACACCGCACGGCACGGAGCAGGAGGGCACGACCAAGGCCAGACGTCGTTCATGTTTTGCGCATGAAACCATTTATTGCGCGTTGTTCGTAACTTTACCGTACATCGTTCTTTGTGTTATTTATTTATTTTTGTGAACTTGCTTCTTCGTTCATTGACTTTTCCTATATTGGTACGCTCTTTAATTTCTACTTTTACTTTATCCGAATTTCCAAATTCTTTGTTTCACGTGCCTATGTTATAACATCGGGGTGGTGCTATGTACTTTTTCCCCTCTTTTGGGACTTGTTTTTTTCTTACGAAAGAGGGGATAATGCCACCCGCACCTAGTAGGTCGATGGCAAGGGACGATGCCACCCACACGTAGTAGGTCGACAGCAAGAGCGGCTCTCAATCTGGAGGAAAAAAGAAGATTGTGTGCTTCTTCTCAGCTCGAGAGCCAGCCACGACTGACGCATCGTCCTAGAGCTAGCTACTCGATGGTTTAATAAACCCACAGTACTTGTGATTCATCGTGACAATAGCCTCACGGGGAGAACAAGGTGAGGACAGGGGTGTCTGAACAATGTGGTGGCACGGCCCCACTAGTTGTGAACCTGTAGGGGTGACCTTTCCACTCGGGGTGTGGGGCGCTAGCTCCCTATTTAGGTCCTCAGGAATCGCACGATGGGTGGACTCAGCTTGACGCCCCCTCCCAAGTGGCGCCCTGGGCACTTCTACCTATTTACCTTACCCCTCCTAGTTACACCACTGCAACTAATTAATACTTAGCTTCGAAGAATCGCCGAGCCGACGCAAGCAAGGCCACCTGAGTTACGGTGGCAAAGCTTTCTCATTGTCAATGTAGGTGTATCGTTATAATGGGGGTCCACATGTCTATGCATCGATCTACTAGAAGTACCGCCTTTTGCATTCTGCGACCTTAGAGTATAAACGTTAGACTGTAGTACAGGTGCGAAAAGGGGAGTCCACTTCCTTATGTTGGATGCAGTGTCACATATGCGTTATTTACGGAACACGACGACGACAAAAAGCGTTTGCTTCAGTGAAATTTCTTTGTACAACGATATTTCATCGCTTCGGGCCTCCATTCTCACCTGAACTTTGGTCTTCCTTAAAATTCTTCCAAGCTTTCTTGATAGGCGCCCGTGTTCTTCGTGGTTCTTCCAAAATATGACTTTCTGTTGGAGTCACCTAATGGACAGGCTCGCAGTTCTTTTGGTGCTTGATATTTTCCGAAATGCCGTGTAAAGCAGCGGAATACGTAACAAACAGTAGTATGGCGTATACTCTAATGTTCGTAAATCAAGGTGATAGAAACAACCAGGCCTATGTCTTCAGCTATTTATTCATGATGATCATAATGAATAATAAGTAATAAAAAAATTTTGAAAACAAAAAAGCAAAAGTTGTGAAAGAACTTCCGGGCCACATCGTTTATCTAACGTAATATTTGATAAAAAATCCTCTTAGAACTAGCCGGTTCTTGGCCAATCTCCCAGCGTGGGTGTGTGCCCCGTTTCAAAAATTCTACTCTACTCTACTTGCGTATCATTCGACTTTTGATGAGCGTTATACCTGAATGGTGGCAGTGGTGCGCTCATATGGCAGCCTTCGTTTTCGCGCAGGAACTGGCCACCGGCACAGTGAGCCCTCGGCACTGCGTGCGCAACAGCCCGACGGGTTCCGGCGGCGGGCCGGGCCTGGTGGCGCAGGCGCCGGCGCACGGCCCCGCCCACGGGCCACAACACGGACCTCCCGGGCCGGGGGGACCACCTCACGGACCCCCACACGGACCCCCGCACGGGCCGGCACACAGCCCCGCGCATGGGCCCCCTCCGCCGCCGCCCCCACACGGACCCCCTCCTCCACCGCACGGGCCCCCTCCGCCACACGGGGGGCCGGGCGGTATGGAGCCGGACGGCAGCTGGAAGGGGCCGGCGCCCCCGCCCCATCACCACCCGGCACTCATGGGACACGGGCCCGCGGCCATGCACCATGGGCCGCCCCCGCACCACGGTCCCCCTCCACCCCATCCAGGAGGGCCCCCGCACCCCATGGCGGGACCTCCACCGCACACCATGCCCGATGGACGACCCCTCGACCCTGGGTGAGCCTTCTGCAATAACGCACGTTTCCAAGGCATTCTACTATATATAGTCCGTGGAGTGCAAATATCGGGATGCTGCTTGCTCAGGTGTCATTTCTTACCGGCTGGCTGTTCTTGAATGTATGATTGTGCGCATGAAAAGACGCGCCTGTCCTGCCAACAGGCAAAAGCGGTGGGCGAACAACGCGACGTGCTACACCTGAAAAGGTATTCTCGGAACTGATTCTGTCTTCCTTAACGGAACAATATAGCAAGTAAAACCGTGTTAGTTTTTTTTTTTTTTTTTAGAAAAAAAGGAGGGGGCAGGCTGGTTAAGAAAAGGCGTACACCTGTTTGTTGCAATAATTTAAAAGGAATAAAAAGATCAAGCTGTAAAATGAATGCAGAAGCAGTGCTGTTCGTTCTGAGGAAGAATGCAGCTATCTGCATTTTGCTGAGAAAACGTGCAGCTTCACCAAAGATCCCTTGTCATATGTAGCTTCATGAAAGTATATTACTGTTGAGTACCTTAGATGCACATATTCACGTGTTGTGGTTACTCTCAGCTCGATTTCTAAGTTGAAAGACTGATAATCAAACCCAACAGTCATGGTGAGGAGGCGGTCACGTGCTCATTAACGGCAGCTTCGTAGCACTTCTTGCGCTAGCGTCGACCGATCAATTAGCAGCGTTGTGAGAGGCTGCTTTCTCTGTGGCTGTAATGTAACTAAGCGGACTTGTATTTAATTCCTAGATTTATTCGCTGTTTGCTGCGACCTAAACTTCTGTTACAAGATGCTTCCGCCAAACAACCTCAATACATATGCCCTGAATATAACGAATATATTGCCACATTATCGCACCATCATGCTGCCCTGGTAAAGAGGAATGAAGCTGCGCCAGCCCGCGCCATGAAACGCCTTCGCTCACTCCCATCATGTCATTCCGGTGCGCGCTAGTGCTGCTACTGTGTAGTTTTAGCATATGTAGTTTTAGCATGTGTAGTTTTAGTATAGAGCCCTGCTAGGGCATGTAGTGACACCCCATGGTAAGAAACATATTTGTCCCAAACGCCGCTCTTTGTTCATGTAACTTATCGACCAATAGCTGCAACCTGCTCTAATGACGAGTTAGAGCCGACGCAGGCAGGCCTTCGTGCGGAATGAGGGCGTTTGATAAAGTGGAAACTTCGCACTTCGCTTGTAACATTTATGTGCTTCATACGGGCACAAAATTTATTCAATCATAAAATTGCTTGCGGTTCGTATAAATTGTTCTTTAGTAAGCATGAGGGGGTGGTTCAGGACCCATTTAAAGATGAAGAGGAAGCATTAGGCTATTTTCCTACTTCTGATAAGATTTCCGTTGAAATCGCTGAACTGATTAAAGGACGGGAAATAAACACAAGGTGCGTGGCCGGGCTACTGAGAAAAATTCTAAATAAGTAATGTTGAAAGGCTGGCCAGAAAGTGTCAAAATAAGTAAAGCGATTTGAAGAATGCCAATCAGTGCTAAAAACGAAGACACAGAAAGAACAAGATAGATAGATATGTAGGATTTAACGTCCCAAAACCACCATATGATTATGAGAGACACCGTAGTGGAGGGCACCAGAAATTTCGACCACCTGAGGTTCTTTAACGTGCACCCAAATCTGAGCACATGGCCCTACAACATTTCCGCATCCATTGGAAATGCAGCCGCCGTAGCCGAGATTCGATCCCGCGACCTGCGGGGTCGCAGCCGAGTACCTTAGCCACCAGACCACCACGGCGGGTAGGAAGAACAAGGATAGAGTGCTATCTGCTCTTTTTGTGGCTTCGTTTTTCGTGCTGATGATGAATTTCACAGTGCGCGAACATAAGGGGAACATGGTACAGAGTAGTAACATCACAACACGTGGTAAGACAAATGTGAGCAAGTGTTGTGATTTGACTGTAGATGAATTGATCATGTTTGTCTTGATCCTTACCTCTACTTGTACATTTTTCCATTCAGCAAAATAATTATTAGTTGTAAGTCAGTGCTCTTTCCTACTCTCTTCCATTTTTTCTTATGTTCGCGTGCTGTGAAATTCGCCCACGATGTCTTTATAGAGGAAACTACTAATAGTATTATGATCACTGTTCAAGTGCCGGTCGATGAGATAGTGGACTGCTGTCCATTTTGTTATTGGATCACGTGCGTCTTTTTAGTTGTGGGACTTTATCTTAAACAGTGGGACGCCACGCCAGTCAGTATTGTAAACGTTGGCAAATATTTTTGTACTGGAAAAACACGTTGAGTGAGGTACAGTTTAGTGATAAGAAGGGGAGTAGTGACTCGGCCCGAGACACCTTCGTCCAGCGAGTTCTCTGCGTTTGGGTAATGGAAAGGGGGGGGGGGGGGGGTGTGAGAGAAATACAAGGGTTATATATGCGTAGCCTTATCACTTTCCTAAGGTTATTTTTGCCACATAAAGGTAGTGTTCCTTGGTAAAGCGTGCATAGTGTATTGGAGCAATGGAGGCTTGTGATGCTATGAGACAAAGCAAATAAATGGGTAATATTCACGACCGCAGCGATGGTCAGGTGGTAGAGCTACACGTCCAATGTGATAGGTACTGGCCAGACTTTGCCGGTTGTTCTAATATAGAAGGACGTACCCCTTCCTGGAGCCTGATGATGGGGATACTCCTCACAATTATGCAGTGCCGTCGCCCGCCTTTTTACACAAGAATAATAGTTGTTCGGGTCTTTCATTCCAAAACCACGATATGATTATTAGGGATGCCGTAGTGGAGTGCGATATGATTATTAGGGATGCCGTAAGGTCGCAGGTTCGGATCCTGCCCACGGCAAGTTATCTTTTCACCCACTTTTCTTAATATTTACATTACAATTGGGTCTAATATCTTCCCCTATACTTTCCTTGGCATTATTGTCTGTTAGATCTCATTAATATTCTGTAAAAACACGGAAAAACGAGCCCTTAGGTATACACTTCTTTCCTTATTCATTAACGAGGGTCTCGTACTGGCAGACTTGGTGCCTTTAGGTTGTATACGAGGGACTATTGGTCAGCTGCCCACTCGTAACAAGTTCACGTGCTACGTGACGCCAAACAGGCTCAAAAGAGTGTGCCACACTCGCCGCCATGGCTACTGGTGGCGCTGACTGACACTCCCACGTTTAATTCACGTATAAACCCTATAAAGTGGCTGGGGGGATAGCTGTTGTGGTAGCTCAGTGGTAGAGCATCGAACGCGTCATTCGAAGGTTGAAGGTTCGGATCCTGCCCACAGCAATTTATCTTTTCACCCACTTTTCTTAATATTTACATTACCATTGGGTCTAATATCTTCCCCTATACTTTCCTTGGCATTATTGTCTGTTATATCTCATTAATATTGTGTAAAAACAAGGAAAAACGAGCCCTTAGGTATACACTTCTTTCCTTATTCATTAACGAGGGTCTCGTACTGGTAGACTTAGTGCCTTTAGGTTGTATACAAGGGACTATTGGTCAGCTGCCAACTCGTAACAAGTTCACGTGCTACGTGACGCCAAACAGGCTCAAAAGAGTGTGCCACACTCACCGCCATGGCTACTGGTGGCGCTGACTGACGCTCCCACGTTTAATTCACATATAAACACTATGAAGTGGCTGGGGGGATAGCTGTCGTGGTAGCTCAGTGGTAGAGCATCGAACGCGTCATTCGAAGGTCGCAGGTTCGGATCCTGCCCACGGCAAGTTATCTTGTGAGTGACGGCGAGGCCCATGTTGACGCCAGCGTCAAAATCCAGCTGAGAGTGTCGATATAATTGCTATCGCAATAAAAAAGTAGCCGCCTAAACGCTTCGTAGGCGATGCCGTGGCAACGGAAACCTTAGCCTTGTTTCGTTGAGGATCGCTCCGGACGTTAGACTGCAGGGTGCATGCTCTGTAAGTTCAATTCACTGGAAATCGGAATGTGAGGTGAGTAAGTTAAGAAGGATACCATGCACAAGCACCATCAGGACTGGGTATCAGAATAAAAGTTATAAGTAGTCACGTCATTCACTCTTCTCTGCCTATGTGAGAATGGGGAGGGTGGGGCAGAGCGAGAGAATTTTACCAGACCTTTAAATAAGATTTCTTAATCTGCCGTATGAAAAACTATATTGATACCATTGTCAAGAAGGGAGCAGCTAAAAAGATGCGTAATTAATTACTGTGGTAGTCTTATTAAGGGCACCAAGAAACCAAGGCCTCTTCAGGACGTTGCCGGAAAGATGGAGTTGGTCTCATGCAGGCTTTTCTTTGAAACAAAATTACACATTCAAAGTTATTCCGGGAGCTTTCGTCCAAAAATGAGGGATCAAAAGTGATGGCAAAGTTGTGCGTTGCGCTGGAGGGCTTTCACAAAGCTGCACATGTCGGATCATTAAGGTTTGTGAAATCAAACTGAAGAGAAACCGCGGCGTCTGTCAGCCTCCATAGAAACAGTAAATAGGTCCAGCTTTACGTTCGCTTTTTGTTGCGCTGAGACCAGTGTATGCACCACTAATCGGTGTGAGCGGAGATCGCTCATGCTAGCAGCGTAAACAAGAACGCCGTTCTTGCGCCACGTTTACGCATATGTTAACCTATACACGCGCTAGCCACGTATGTACACCGATTCCGGCACCACTAATGGTGACTGCGAACGCGCTTCAGTATGGATGTGTAATTGCTGCCGAAATAAAATTTGTACTGTGTTTCAGAGACACCCCCAAAACGATGCAACTGAGCTCATTGGTAAAGCTGGCTTCTCCTCAAATGACCTCTTACTGCGGAGAAGCCATATTTTGTGGATGCGCTTCATTGATTTATTGATATGTGGGGTTTACCGTCCCAAAACCACCATATGATTATGAAATACGCCGTAGTGGAGGGCTCTAGAAATTCTGACCACCTGGGGTTCTTTAACGTCCACCCAAATCTCAGAACACGGGCCTACAACATTTTCGCCTCCATCGGAAATGCAACCACCGCAGCCAGGATTCGATCCCGTCACTTGCGGGT